ATGGTAGGTCTAGTGGCTTGGATAAACTTAATCGATCTCTGCATCATTTCGTGGCTCTTTGAGCTGAAAATAACGTTGGGGCAGGGGGAACTGAACGTTGACTTGGATATGTCGGAACTTATCTCTGCATCATTTCGTGGATCTTGAGCTGAAAATAACGTTGGGGCATGGGGAGCTGAATGTTGACTTGTTGGATGTCAGTCAGGGCCCTTGGAGAGCAAAAATGACATCCAAATAAGAGAAGGTTTAATTTCTGGATCGTGTCCTAACCCTAGTACTGCTGCTATTAGTCTATAAATTGCTACAAATTCTTTACACTACATAAGCTTTGCAGATTCAGTACCTGCCAATTGCAGAATACTCCGGCATTGTCTATACTGTCATGTCTTTCTTTTCTTTCCCCTTCTGTTTTGTTTGATAAATATCTCACTCTGCTTTACATTTTTCCAAAACAATACAAATTAAGAAAAAAAAAAATTAGAACCAGCCCTTCTGCTTATTATACAAAATAGCATCTGCGGCAGCACTGGTGTTCTGAGAGTGATGGAGTTGGCCACTGCTTGTATAGAATCCGTCGTCCATGAGCTTCAGTTGCTGGAGAAAAACCTCAGAGACGATTTGTCTTATATGTTTGGTGAAAACAAGCGCTCAGCTTTTACGACCCTCAAGCTGAACTTAGCATGTCTCAGAACATTTTTCTGGGGTGAAAGAAAGTGGAGCATCAACATTGTGGACTTGGATCTGGAACTTAATGGGGAGAGTCTTCAATCTTTCTTATCTACCATTGGATGTACTCAAGAAATACCAGGATGATATTCACTCTCTTTGCCTTCGACCACAAAGTGAATATGTAGTCACAGATCAGGGCATGGACATTATCTCTTTTCTGGATCATATATCAGCTTGGGAACCTGTGGTGTTTGGTTTTCAAGCAAAGATCATGTCTTTTAAGCCTAGAATCCTACAGACATACAGGGCTTTGTTGAACCGCTTCTCATCTCAGTCCAGATGTTCTTGCTTGAGAGACGAGGAACTTGTGGAATTCATAAAGTACCTTCGACAGGATCTTGATGGTCTTCGTCGTTCTTTATTGTTCAAGGCGAACCCTGCCGAGCCCGAATTCCGTTTGCATGCACAAATCGAGGCCCTCCAAGACGAGCTAATATTCTTGAAAAATCTCATTGGCTTTGCCAAATTGGGAAGCGTTGAACTTGGTCTATTGGATGCTCTATCGAATCGCCTTGAATATGGGGCTCTCCATGCAGCATTGATCTCTTACGAGTGTTCATTTTACAATGAAGATAGAGAGGGAATAGGAGTCACTGAATATTTCTGCTCCAAAATTGGTGAACTCCTCCGGGTCATCAAACCTGTTAAACTTAACTATAGACTCCTTGAGATGTATATCAAAGTCCTTAGTGCTTCAAGAACATCAGCACTGTTACGTTCCATGGAGATGGGTAAGCAAATAATGGGCGACTTCAATGATTCCCTCATAAATCGCCTCTGGGAGCCGCTGTGGAGCAGTAAAAGCTTGATGGGTCCTGTGAAACGTCAAATGCAAATACTGTACGAGGGACTCAGATTCTTGAGAAGCATTCTAAGGGAGCTGCCGGAGAATGTCCTGGATGAGCTCAATCCAAACATCGGAGATGTGATGAGTTGTGCAGGAATTATAATCTGCGCCCTTTTTGCGAGCGAAGCTGAACAAATTCCTTATCCTCTTGATGGCTACATTATGTTGGGTGATACCAACAACGAAATCAAGCGTATTAAGGACGAGACTGGCAGATGGAGCACGACAGCGAGTCTTCCTTCTGATAATTGCTTGGCAGGGCAAGAAGCTTGCAACTCTTTCAGTAGTCCTATGTCATCCACAGGTAATCTACATCTCCATCTCCATCTGTCTATATATAATTTATAATCTCTCTATCTCTACGTACAATAACAACTATATTAAGTGGCGACAATCTCTAGAATAATCTCTGCCATAAACAAAAATGTTTTCCAAAAAATGTTTTCTATTTCTTAGCTGTCTTTTGACTGAGTGAACTAATTCCAGCGGGCAATAGTCCTATCTGGAAACAAGTTTATATTAGTTGAGAAACTACCAAATTGCTCTATCATGTGTACCATTGATTCCTCAACCACGACTCATCTTTGATTGCTTCAAGAAATTAATGGTCCACAACAAGGTAAATGTTTGGCATGGTTTCAGTATCAGATAAAGAGTCCTCTTTTGATAGGAATATAGATAAGCTTAGGCCGGATGAGTAGCATGTAGGTTAGGTTCTCTTTGTTAGAGCGAGACCAGGCCTTAAACCTTCTGCAAGCTAATTTTATTGAGGCATTTTTGTAAACTAGAAAGGGAGGAAAAACCTCTATTATTAGTTTATGCTAGCACAAGAACATAAATTTCTACTTATTTATGCTAGCACGGCGATTTCTACTTATTTGACGTTTGCATAAAATTTGAAGTTGACACAAAAGCTTACGTTTAAAGGAGATCCAAGAATAAAATGAGGCCATCATCAGAGGGATCACGACGATTTCTTCAAGGCTGGTTGCTCTCTTTATTTTGAGCCAATGGGAAAAAAAAAAAGAAGGTTAAAATATCTATAGTAAACTGGTGAAAGTTAGCTAACAAAAATCAATGAAGGAAAAATTAGTAATTATAGGACAATAAATATATAATTGAAATGGATATAAAACATATAGAACGAGTTACAAAGGGCTTCTCATGACCTTGCAAGCTTAATTGAAATCCTTCAAAAAAAAAAAACTAATTTCAACATTAAACTGGTGAAAGTTATCTAAAAAATCTCCTTAGCAAGAATTAGTAACTTCTTGACAATAAGTATAATGAGTCTAGACATGGTAGAATGGTTTTACAATAAGTCTTTACTTCACACTGATATAAATGTTATTTGCGATATTCACGTTCGACCTATGAGTACGTCTATCTTTTCTCTTACACAATGTTGTTTTGCGTATTACAAATGTAATGATATTATGCGTGTAGAATGGATTTGACAAGACATTATAGTATCAATACATGTGCTGGAGTCAAATATAATTATCCTCATAGTTTTAAAAAATTAAAAAAAAACTTAGATTTTATGACTTTTAAATAAGAATTAATCTCATATAATTGGTAATTCATGCATTATCATCGTTTGATGTATGACAAATCATCTGAATTTGAAATTGAAATCTAAATCTTATACATGTGTGATACATATAACTGTGATATTATATACTGTTAGTATATATAAGATTAAATCTTTAAAATGTGTGTTTCAAAAATAATTGTTTAAAGCAAGTAAAAGAATATAAATACACTAACATGGTTTTTATTCACAAACTTGTGGATTTTGTTGATCAAGCAATGAACTTGTACATTCGATCGTTTTACAAAGAAACCTATATACATTTAAACAGCTCTACTAATTACAAATACTAAGTACCGAAAATAGACACAGGTAACCCAAGTTTTAGGATCAATTCCCGTGCTTCCCAGGCTTAACCAGGGAAAAGAAATACACAAACATGATGTTGACAACAAAATTTGACGGAAAGAAATGTTTTGGGATGGTACAATCTCGAGTAAAGTAAGTGAAGTATTACTAATACACTAGAAATGGATATAAAACAAATAGATTGCAGTAGAAATTTTATCATTGGTTTTGTTGTTATATCATGGTTTTAAAGTTGTAACTCGTTATAATTCTGGACTTACAGGTATGCGCCCGCTTCCTCCTAGTCCTAGGATACCGGAAGTTCATGAAGTTGTGATCGGTTTTGATGATGAGGCACAAACAATAATTGGTCGACTTACCAGTGAATCAAGACAGTTGGAAATTGTTCCAATTGTGGGAATGCCTGGATTGGGTAAGACGACTTTAGCCAAAAAGGTATATGGTGATGCTGAAATTGAGGGCCACTTTCAACTTCATCTTTGGTGTTGTAACGGTGAATACACTCAAAAACAGCTCCGAGAGAAGGATGAGGATGACTTGCTTACAATGCTCTATCAAATGTTGAAGGGAAAAAAGTATCTCGTTGTACTTGATGATGTTTGGGAGAGCGGGCTATGGAATGACTTGAACCTTGCCTTCCAGGATGCTCCAAAGGGAAGTAAAATTCTCATCACAAGTCGATTTTCTAACATTACTGCACATGTTAAACTGGGTGAACCTCACTATCTTCGCTTGCTCACTGAGGAACAAAGTTGGCAGTTATTGCAGAAGAAGGTGTTTGGAGAAGAAGAATGTCCTCAATCAGTACACGGAGCGGGTATAGAAATAGCAAGATTCTGCGGGGGATTACCTCTAACAGTTGTTATCATAGCTGGAGTTCTAGCAACTTTAGAACGTGACGGTTGGATTTGGGAAGAATTTGCAAGAAGAATAACTTTGACCATGGTGTGCGGCACAGACCCATGCATGGCGTCACTGGAGCTCAGTTATGAAAAATTGCCTCCTCCTTTGAAGCCTTGTTTTCTTTACTTTGCAGCATTTCGAGAAGCAGAGAAAATAGGCACTAAGAATTTAATGTGCCTATGGATTGCAGAAGGGCTTGTGGAAAGAAAGGAAGGCAGGAGACTGGAGGACGTTGCAGAGGAGTACCTGATGAGCCTTATTGGTCGAAACTTAGTCACGGTAAGCGCATATATAGATCCATTGGTGGAGTGAAATCTGGTTGTCTTCACGATTTATTACTTCGAGTTTTGTAAAGCCAGAGCGAAAGAAAAGAATTTTCTTCAGGCATTTCGAGGATACGGTGAGCTCTCAACTTTTAATGAGCCTGCGAACATAACCCGGGTGTCCATTTGCACCATTGGAGAAGATTTCTCAAATTCCAGGCTATTTTGTCCACGTTCAAGGAGTCTCCTATTCTTTTACCAGACTGCAGCAGACGATTTTCCATTGGTTGATATCTCCTTCCTTTTCTGCATTTATAAACATCTTATAGTATTGAATTTGGAGTATATTGTCCTGATGCAAAAGGAGTTTCCAAGCGGAGTCGAATCACTTCCTGAATTGAGGTATTTGGCCCTCAGATCTGACAGGATGGAGTTCATTCCACAATCTATAGCCAACCTCTCGAATTTGGAAACTTTTCGTCTCAAATCTCATGAAACCGTTTCATTGCCAGATACCATCTGGAACATGAAAAAGTTGAGGGTTCTGTGCGTATGGATTTGTGCTCGTCCCTTGCTGAATGACGACATCCTTAGAAGCTCCTCCACTTTACCTAATTTAGACTCTCTTTCCACTCTGATTCTTCCTTTAAGTCAAGCAGGAGAAAACATTATTAGGAAGATTCCGCACGTCCGCCGGCTGAAAATTTTTCTCTCACATAATGAAGGAGCACGGGAAGCTACTGGCAGCTGCAACTTGAGTCAACTGGAAAGTCTAGAATCGCTCACAGTGATGGGTGGTTTCATACTTCCATGGGATCATAATATCGAGTATATTTTTCCCTCAGCTCTCAAAAAATTGTCCCTTAGTGAACTGGGACTGCCCTGGAGTAAAATTTCATTGATTGAACAACTTCCCAATCTTGAGGTCCTCAAACTACTCGTCTGTTCATTCCGGGGAGATACATGGGAGCTGGCCGAAGGAGGATTCCCAAAACTTAAGGTCTTAACGTTGTCTCAAGTAGACGTTGTGGTGTGGACAGAGGCAGACCCTGACAGTGATGATTGTTTTCCATGTCTTGAGCGGTTAAACCTGGAAGGAAATTTAAAATTGGAAAAGGTCCCTTCTTGTTTCGAGCGTTTATCCACCCTTAATATGGTTAAGGTGCGCTTTTGGGGGGAGGAGAGCAACTGCGACAACGCTGTTGACAACTACTCAGTTGTCAATTTAGTACGGCGAATTGAAGAAGAGCAGATCAACAACGGAACTGAGAATCTGAAGATTCTCATCCATTATGTCCCCCTGCCAAGATATTGAAGGGCATCAGCTGGAGTGATATACGTGACTTAAAGAGGTAACTTTTCTCCATCTTCTTAATAAGCTTGCAGAAACATCAATCCTGCATCTTCCGTGTGATTTTAATCCATCTCTTGCTTTCTAGACTCGGTACTTTTTTCAGTTGCCGGAAATGCATGCATGAGTACATTGAAATTTATGAATACACAACTGCTTTTTTTTTGTTTCCGATTTATAAGCTGAGGTTGCTACTGGTTTTGGTGGTTTGAGATTATAATTGCTCATCATTTTGAATGGTGTTGCGTTTTTATTCTGATGGCGTGTAAATGTCGTCTGCATTTCTTCTTTTGTTGCTTAGAGTGGATGATGGAGGTAAAAGCTGGAAGGGTGGTGACTCTTTCCTTTTCAAGAAGGTCGGAACAATCAAGGGAGCCCTCTACTCAGTCCTCCGCAAAAACAGCATACAAATGTTTAAAAATGTTCCTATGAGTAAATATTTCATTTTTGGCTGTTGGCATGGAAGAAGTGTTAGTGTATTGAAGAAGCAAAATTTTCGATCTGTATTTTGTGTTGCTCAATTTAGTGATTGATTGTTGTGTGCCCTTTCTTCTGTCAATCTATAGTCAATTTGCCCTATTGATGTATATATAGGGTAAACTTTGCCATTGCCTTCAAGGAGACTCTAAATTTATTATGCAAAAAAAAAAAAAAAAAAAAAAACGGAGGCACTAGATTTTGTATTGCAAGATTGGCTGATGTATTCAATGGATGATTCTTTTTTTGGGGCCCAATAATTGATGACTCAGCAAGCAAAATGAAATTTTTAACGATCTTCATCATAGGCTAACCTTATTGTTAGTGATTACAGCTCATTAGCAGATTGGGGTTTCACAGTTTTTTGGGTCCAGACTGATCGGGTCAAAGTATTTGAGCAAATAAATGAAGCTGAATCCAGTATTTGAGTTAATCGTTACACCACAATTTGTAATCAATCTTATGTCCTAAAGTTTATTCGAATGCAAAGAACATGTGCCCCAAACAACTGAACCTTTATTTGGAAGAAACTTTTAAAATATATTATTATAAGTCTAACTTACTTTATTTATGTCCAAGCTCCCAATAATAATAATAATAATAATAAAAATCTCTTCTTTTCGTTGCTTTGGTAGCTTAAAAAATATATTTTTTTTTTTTTAGCTTTTATCTCCATAACTCTGAAAATAGACCAAATTGCAAAACTGATTTATATTTTCATGAGTGAAAGTTTTTCCTGATGAAAAGAAAATCTTTTGCTCCCCTGACAATATTGGCTGGATTCTCTGCATTTTCCCTACTTTCTAAACCGCGTGATCATACTTCGGCCCAAAAAAGCTAAAAAGGAAGACAAGAAAGAAGCATCAGCATTGACTTTCAAGTCAATCCTTGTTTGGATTGTATTTTTTTAGATTTTTTTTAAAAAAAAATTAATATAGCGATTTAATATGTATGAGATGAAAGGGTGATTAAAATATGCGTTCACGGAAAAAAAAAAAAAAAAAAAAACAATTTTTCTTTGCTGTCCAGACAAATGTGATCTGAATGACCTTTGTTCTCTTCTTTCTTGTTAGCTCTGGACAAGGTGAGATGGTCTGTCCCTGCCTTAGCTGCAATAATGTTGAAGGGCCAAATTCAGTAAAGCCAATTTCAAACTATACAAATATGATCTGAATGATCTTGTTCTTTTCTGTCTTGCACTGCTTTTTTTTTTTAATTCAATGATTGTTATCTCAGTTTTCTTCTTCAAAAAAAATTTTTTTTTTTTCAAGAAGGGAGTTCTTGTTGGCTCTGGACGAGGCGAGGAAGTTTGTCTCTGCCTTAGCTGCAATAATATTCAACAGTCAAGTTCAGTAACGCCAATTTCAAACTATATAAACATGATCTGAATGATCTTGTTCCTTTCTTTCTTGCTCTGCTTTTTTTTGTTGAATGATTGTTATCTCAGTTATCTTCTTCACTGTTCTACAGCTTTGGACGGGGTGAGGAAGTTTGTCTCTGCCTTAGCTGCAATACAATAACGTTCAGGAGTCAAAGTCGGGAAGATCCTTGCAGAAGAGATTATGGACGGTTACATTGATCGTGTTTTACGAGATCTGGATATCCTCCAGAACAACCTTAACAAAAGCAATTCGTATAATCCCATCTTTTCAGATACCATCAGGAGGATGAAGTTCCTCAAAACATTTATTATTTTTGATATCTGCTGGGGCCGCTGCTTAGATGTGAGTCAGGAGTCTTCTGCAGAACGATTATTTAATAACATTGGTCATACAGTTAAGAAATTTGGGGAAGACATTCACACTCTGTCAATGAGATCAGAAAGTGAGAGTTTCTCAAATCTGATAGGTGTGAGCGATCAATTGGTCTTTGACTTTAAAAGACGGATCGGAGGTTTTCATGAAAGAATCGTGCTTGCGTATGAGCAGAGCATCTCATTCGGATGGTCTTTTTCCACGTTCCACAATATTGTGGAATTCATAGACCTCGTTCTACAAAATCTGGTGGATCTGCATCTAGTTCGTAAAAAGTCTTATTGTGCTGCTTTGCGTGCTCAAATCCAGGACCTTGAAGAAAAGTTAACATTCTTAAAAACTTTCATGTGCTTTGCCGAATTGGGAGGATATAATGACGACTTCATCCGCTTGCTACTTCACATTGAAGCAATAGCTCGGAATGCAGCACGCCTCTCTTACATGTGTTCCTTTCTTGATGAAGTTGATGAAGGGCATTCATTTGTTTGCAAAGATGTAGAAAAGTGTCCCTTCCATGACGAATTTGAGTCAGAATACATTGGTAAGTTCTGCCACATGATCTGTAAACAACTTGAGGAGATCAATCCTGTTGATATTCGAGATGGTAAGATTTACATCGACGCTCTTAAAGCTTCAAACTCCTCAGCATCATTACGTACCGTGATGATGGATGAGCATCTATTGAACAACTTCAATGATTCTCTCATAAGTTTTATCTGGAAGCTGCTATGCTGCAATTCCAACTTCATGGATTTTCTGAAAGATGAATTGCAAATACTCTTTTCAGAACTGAGATTCTTGAGAAGCATTTTAAGGATGCCTATGGAGAAGAAGAATGAGCTAAATGAAAAAATTGGAGAGCTAAATGAAAAAATTGGAGGTGGGTGGAGATTCTCGAGATGCATTTTAAGAAAGCCTAAGGAGAAGAAGGAAGACCTAAATGAAAGAATCGGAGCTCTCCTTCGTGAGGCAGGCATCATAATCTGCAAGCTTGCTCTGAGCAGAGTAAAAGGAGGAGATGTTAACTCCTTAGACACCAAAAAAGCTCGTCATTGTTCTCACATGCTGGTTAATATCAATAAGCGTATCAAGCATATTACAGATTTGGCCAGTGTCTCAAGCAGAGGATGTCTTGCTCCCTGTCTTAGCATCAACATACAAAAATGTGACAAGCCTTTCAGCTATAAGCTATCAAAAACTAAAGTAACCCATGAAGTCACGGTTGGTCATGATGATGAGGCAAAGAAAGTGAGCGATCGACTTATTGGAGGACCAGAACAGTTGGAAATTGTCCCCATTGTGGGAATGGCTGGACTTGGTAAGACAACTTTAGCCAACAGAGCTTACAATGATAGTTCAATTATCTATAATTTCCACATTCGTCTTTGGTGTACTGTTTCACAAGTATTCAACATGAAGGATTTGTTACTTCAAATCTTGTGCTCAGATGGCAAACATCCTGGGATGAATGAAGAGCTCGAAATTCTGGATGAACATGTATTGCTTCATAAGCTATATCAGAAGTTGAAGGGGAAGAAGTATCTCGTTGTCTTTGATGATGTCTGGGACTTCAGCATATGGAATGACTTGAGATGTTCATTCCCAGATGAGATGAGAGGTAGTAGAATCCTCATCACTAGTCGATTTTCTAATGTTGCTTCAACGGTTGAAAATGGTGGGGAACCTCTCGATCTTCGCTTGCTCACTGATATAGAGAGTTTGCAATTATTACAGAAGAAGGTGTTCGGAGAAGAAGATTGTCCTCAATCGCTACATGGACCCAGTGTGGAAATAGCAAAATTCTGCAAGGGATTACCTCTTGCAATTGTTGCCGTAGCTGGAATTGTAGCAACTCTAGAGCATGATGTTTCGGCTTGGGAAGAATTTGCTAAAAGTTTAACTTCCACCGTGGTCTCTCTCACAGACACGTGCAAGAAGTCATTAGAGCTCAGTTATGAAAATTTACCACATCATTTGAAGCCATGCCTTCTTTATTTTGCAGCATTTGGAGAAGATGCAAAGATTGTTACCAGGAATTTGATACGTCTATGGGTTGCTGAAGGGTTTGTGGAGAATACTGACGGAAAGAAGTTAGAGGACGTGGCAGAAGAATATATGATGGACCTTATTGGTCGAAACTTAGTTATGGTAAGCGAACGCAGCTCGATGGGAGGGGTCAAAGCTTCTTGTATTCATGATTTGTTACTTGAGTTTTGCAAGTCCAAAGCCAAAGAGACGGATTTTCTTCGGGTGTTACGAGGATGTGATGAGCTTTATACTTTCAATGAGCTTCGCTACCCACCTCGATTGTCCATTTGCTCCAGTGCAGCAGATTTTCACAAGTCGAAGCTCTTTTGTCCCCATTTAGGGAGTCTGCTATGCTTTCGTCAGAATGCAGGAGACGATTTTCCACTTGCTGATGTCTCGTTCATTTTTCGCATCTACAAGCATCTCACAGTTTTGAATTTAGAGCATAGTGTGCTGATACATAAAGAGCTTCCGACTGAAGTCGAATCACTCTGTCGCTTGAGGTATTTGGCCCTTAGAGCTGATGCCATGCAGTTCGTTCCACTATCTATATCCAATCTCTCGTCCTTGGAAACCTTTTATCTGCAATCTTTGGTGGAAGTTTCATTGCCCTATACCATATGGGATATGAAGAAGCTAAGGCATGTGCGTGTTGGGGGTCGTCTTGGTGCTCGTGTTTTGCCCAGTGATAATGTCCTTGAAAACTCCTCCCCTTTACCTGATTTAGACACGCTTTGCTATCTGAGACTTCCTTTTAATCAAGAAGGAGAAGCCATGCTGAGAAGGATTCCGAATATCCGCCGACTGAAAATTGTGACCGCAGACGTAGGAGAGGAGGCATGCTTCAACATGAGTCAGTTAGATACCCTAGAGTCGCTGAACATAATCTCGAATCACTTCCAAGGTCCAAGAAATCATTTTGAGCTCTCTTTCCCCATGAATTTAAAAAAGTTGCTCCTTTCTGGATTGAACCTACCCTGGAGTAAAATTTCATTGATTGAACAGCTACCCAATCTAGAGGTCCTGAAATTACTTTGTGATTCATTGCGCGGCAGAAGATGGGAGCTGACCGAAGGAGGATTTCCTAAGCTTAGGGTCTTGACTTTGTCCGATGTAAATGTTGTGGAGTGGACAGAGACAGATAGTGATGCTACTGATAGTAGTGATGATTATTTCCCTTGTCTTGAGCAGTTAAAACTGGTTGGAGAGTTGAAGTTGGAACAGGTCCCTTCTTGTTTAGAGCGGATATCAACTCTTGAAATGATTAAGGTGTACATTTGCGGGAAGAGTGACTATGTCGGATCTGTTATAAGTTTAGTACGAGGCATTGAAGAAGCACAGAAAAACTATGGAAATCAGAATCTGAAGATCCTCGTCGACTGTCAAGCCTGGTAAAGATAGTGAAGGGCATCAGCTGGTCCAAGATGAGGTAACTTTTGTTGTTATTCTCAATCACTTTGCAGAAATAATCATGCCTTCCATATGAACGAAGTCAATCAATTAATTTCCCTTTCTGTTGCTTTTTTGTTTTGAAGTTTATTCAACTTTCGGTTGCAGGTAGTGCATGCATCAGTACAATGAAATTTATGAACAATCAAATAAATATTGCTCTTTTTGTATTTCATTTTCTCAACATCAGCAGGGTTATCATGTTGTTATAGACAAAGCTTGGAAATAATGGATGGAAGGAATATGATTGTGCGCAAAGGCAACTTGAAGGAGCTTGAATGAAGTGATATAGCAGAGGAGTCATCAGAGCTCTCAATGTGTGGAAAGGGATACTCTTCTCTAGATAGCTACTCAAGATCAAACAAGACACAGAGAAACTGGGTATTGCAATTGTAACCTCAGACTGGAGAAATCAAGCAAGGCTGGCTGGTTATCATTCAAGAGAAATCAGGGATATCATTCAAGAGAAATCAGGGAGAAGATGGAATCTGCACAACAAAGCATAATGGTTTTAAAATATGCATCACAAGCAAGGATTCTGCTGTTAGTGTGGAAGAAGATGACGGCTGAAGAAGCAAAAGATTGTGCATTGCTGAATTTAGCGATCGTTGTATTCCTTTTCTCTTCAAGCTCCTGTCACTTGGCTTAGACAGCTGGACAGTTATGAGTTATGATCTCCTTTTTTTTGGGTGATTTTCACTTTAAGCGCTTTATTTGATGTGACTGATGTAATTAGTGTATTTCATTGCTGTGATCTTACTACACACTTGGAGAAATCATGGTCTTGTTTTTAACTGGTAATAACTCGTGTGCTTTGCAAGTGAATATATTTTCTCAAGATATAAAACCTTTAATATATTAAATTTCTTTGCAAAACTTTGATTATTGGTATAACATAAACTAAAAAACTATATAATGAACAAAATTAAACAATTGGTAATTGTATAAGATGTTTATTGTGTACAAAACAATTAAAAGTTTATTTTGGATTTTGCAATTATAAAAACTCTGAAGATGGAAGATTATCATATTAAACTAAGTTACTAGTATAATATTGACTAAGAAATCATAAAATGAACAAAATCAAGCAATTGCTACTTGTAGAAAACGTTTATTATACACGAAGCAATTAAAAAGTTTATTAAACTCTCACGATAGAAGACTATCATATCTAAACTAAGTTGTTAAATATTTTACTTGGATTATGACAATAAGAAGAGGAAATTTTCTATTTTTTGTCAAACCAGGGTATACAACAAAATCTGAGCAAATACATAATCAAACATTTATGATTTGGATACAACAAAATTTTATCAATTTAAGTAGTTGTAAACCTTTTCTATTATATTTTTTAAAATTATCCATATTTTTTCTAAAGCTTTCTTAGTCAATATGATATAATATAGTGAATTTGATCTTTTATTTTCTCATTAATTGTTTATCACCTTTTATCGTCTTATTAATCATGATTTTCTTCTAAACCAAGATGTATATAAAATATAGTTAGGTTTAATTATCACACGTATAATATAATAATTGGAGATAATTTTAACACACAAAATTATTGGAGATAACGAAAATAATTGGTGAATATAGTTGTAAATGGACAGTTTTTAATTTTAATTACCAATATTTTTTAGATGTAATTTATAGAAACTTATCATTTTTCTTATTAGTGCCATTATTGAAATGCAATAACCCTAGATAAAAAACATGAGGGTAATTTAGGCATAATAAAAACTAAGACCAAAATATACTTGCACTTATATTCCCTATTGTCAAAACTCATCATACTTTTTTTATAGTAATGATTAAGAGGACTTGAACCCAACTTTTTTTTTTTTTTAATTGAGAGGACTTGAACCCAAAAACTCTTACTTCCTTTCATCTTATCATCCAATCCAATCATTTTTTAATCACGTCTTAATAATAAATCAAGATAGAATTTGAATTTGCCAAATTCAACGATGTAAGATAGAATTTGGTTTGATTTGTGTTCCATGTAAGATGAATGCTACAAAATTTACCAACTAATCTGCCAAAAGCAATAACCGCTTGTAGCTAAAAACTACCCAAGTTTCTTACGTATCTGTGATTGTTTCGGAAGGGTTGACACATTAAAGTAAAGGGTTTGCTTCTGGGATGAGTCGTCGAATCCTCTTTTGCCTTCCTTGCACTCTTTCTCTATTATGCTTTACTCTTCCGCAAGCAGTTTACTGTTTACTCAAAAAATTCCTTTCAATTTTTATAGGGTGTAATTTTATCATTTATTTTATTATTAATTTTCCCTATTACCTGACCCGATGTGGATTAATTGCTGGATTCTACTCATTTTTAGTGTTTTGCATATATTCCAGGGAGTAGAACAAAAATATGATAACAAGTGCTAATTTGACAAAAAAGAAGTCTAAGGCACAGAGCTCACCCCAGGGGCATTGTTGGCAAAGGCAAGCTTATGCCCATTTTAGTAATTGCCGAAGACAAAAGCATTAAAAGGAGCAACGAAGGGCTGAAGGCAGGGGTCGGCTTCTTCCTCTCCGGAAGGAGAGTCGCCGCAGAGGAGATAGGAAATATAGAAATAGCATAGGACTAGCACTACGGAAGCTTAGCTTTTGATTTCTCTTTGGAGAGCTTTTCGTCTCGTAGCTTAGCCGCAGTTGTTGACTTTTCTTCTTAGTCTTTGTTAGTTAGCTTTTTCTTACGCATGGAAGATTGCTGAGGAGCTTAGCTTATGTCTTTGATTCTGCCTATTCAATTTCTCTTCTCCGAATGTCGGGCAAAAGCGAACACACTCAGTGGACTCTTGTAGCTTTCTTTCTTTATTGAATAGACGAATTGAATTCGCCCAGCTTCCCAATTGATGGCCGCAGCTTTTGCAACAATTTCTGGCGGATTTAGTTCATCAAATATGAACTAACTTTTCCCTTCTAGTCAAGGAGCAATGGAGGCTTTGATTCGCCTAAAAATTGTGAGATCGATTTAATTTAATCTTTTCCTTTTATTTATTGGTATTTGCTTATTCCCTGGTTACAGTGCTTATGATTGTTTAATTAATTGATTGTCTTGGATCCGGATAATTAGTTAATTTGATAATCTATTATCAATTGGGACGTTAAATCCGTAATTGTTTAACTGTCTCAAAATAGTGATAACTGGCATGATTGGGTTTGTGTCAGGGGAATACGCGGGCTAACCTAAAATAACCCTGGTAGTGCGTTATTTGATTAGAATAGGGCTCCTCTAATACGTAAGGCAATTGGGGAATTAAATTCTACGGGCGTACCTAAGATTATTTCTCAATTAGAGCAGTGATTAACGGGCGTACCTTGATCACCGACACAGTAAGGAGGGGTTGACTGCCATCGTTTGTTTGGTAGTTATAACCTATTTATTGATAAATAATTGGGATTGCCTTTGCTTCGATGATCAATTAGGTGAACCATTGCTGAAGTTATTCCTTGGCTAGATCCTTAATTATCACTCATTAGATTTTAGTAATTTGTTATTCAATTTCTAGTTGGCTATTTTATTTTTATTTTTATTATTTTACTTTTAGTTGAATTACTTAACACCTCTGAGATAAAAATACCCCCTTGTCACTGTGAATTTAAAAAGAAACAATTACTCTCAGTCCCTGTGGATTCGACCCTGCTTACCACTATCTACAGAAATTAATTTTAGTTTGAGCAGGTTTTATTATTGCACAGGCTTCGACAACCTGTCAATTTTTGGCGCCGTTGCCGGGGACTGGCGCTAGTTATTTGTTTCTTTTTCAATTCATCTTGTTTACATTTTTTTATTTAGTTTATGGCTTCTTACACTCCGTATTTTGGTGATATACTGGATTTTATTTCCGGGGAAGGCAATGAGGCTAGTTTTTTTGTGAGGTCTGCATATGCAGAGGCACTAAACTCTGTTAGAGAAAGAATGGCTGCTGCAACCTGTGAAATTTGTTATGCCAGGGATCATTCAACCGGTATGTGCCCCGAATATCAAGACTACCTGAGTGACTATCTCAAAAAAAAATTTGGAGATTCTTCACCTCGATCTCAAACGTGGTATGACCCTTATTCAAACCGGTATGATCAAGGATGGTGGGATAACTCTAACGTTAATTATGAAGAGGGGCCAATGAGTTTTCAGCTGCAAGAGTCTCAACAATCGTCATTCATGTCAGACTTGCCCTCACAGACCATCAATGACTCTAAGAAAGGTGAGAGTGCAATTATCCTGACAAGTGATATGGAACTGCAAGAGTCTCAAGAAGGAGGATCCAAAGATACAGTTGAAAAGGAAGTTGAAGCGGAAGACATGAGACTCCAACATCAAAGTATTCAAGTGAATGAATCCAGTGAACAATTTCCAAATGCGGTGACATCTTCTCCACTGCTTAATCAATATTTTCCTAATTCCTCTTCTTCAATTCCTGTTACTGAAATTGATTTTATTATACCAGAAAATTTGAAATTTCATGACAAGAATAAGTTAAGAGTGGCAATGGAAAAATATCTTGAACCGATGAATGCGTGTGGTGGAGGAGTGAGTGGAGAATGCAGATCATTGTTGACTTGTTTAGCGCCATTTACTAGTCCATGGAAGCCCGTAACTCGTGTGCTCAAAGATTACTCCATCTATGAGGGTTACCAGGATCATATTGAAGATGAAACATTGAAACGAGCCACAAGATTTTATCCCCCGTGAACAAGCATAGCATGTCTAGCCAAAGACATTAAAGAAACGCGCTCATTGGGAGGCAACCCAATTGTTTCTTTTAATTGCTTGATTGGTTTCGTGTCATAGTTTAAATCTGCTTTCCTTGAATTTGACTGATTTTGGGTGTTAATTTTCGTTTTTGCTGATTTATAGGTGCCCTTCAGTCATGACGCGCCCGCATGGTGATTGCCTTCATGGCGCACCAACGTCACGTTCGCGGGAGAGATGAGTATTTAAAAAAATTCAAGAACGGTTGTTGATTGTTGGTTATCTCTGCTTTTGAATCTCGAAAATAAAATTTGCTAATTTTTTTTTTATTTAAAAAAAAAAATTTTAAAAATTTAAAAAAAAAAAATTTTTTAAATTTTTGTTCCACCGTAGCTCAGATTTTCAAAGTATAAAAAAAAAAAAAACAATTTCTCTTTCTTTCTTTCTTTCCTTTCTTTTTCTTTCTTTCTTCTTCTTTCTTTTTCTTTTCTTTCTTTCTTTTCCTCTATTTTGCTCTGTCCGCCGCCCGTGCCCACCGCCATCTCCAACTCCACCGCGCGCCACCCTCTTCCTCGACCAGACCGCGCGCCGCCGTTCCTCCTTGGGGACCAGCCCCACCACCAGCTCGCGCCGCACCTGCTGGCCAACCCATCAACTCCTAAGCTCGCGAACCTCCTCAGCTCAGCTCGCCGCCAGATCTCCTCTTCCTCCCGTGCGGCAGCATCACGTACTACCACCAGCTCGTCGCTTCCCTTGCTCGCTCCACCGCTCCTGCTGTCCACCACCTCGCGCGCGCGCAACTCCAATCGACTGCACGCCGCCATCGCGGGCAGCCTCACCTCGCGGCCACCATCAGCTCGTGCCACTCTACCCTCAACTCAACCCAAGCTCTTCACCGCCGCTGCTCCGCTGCTCGCTCCATTCCCACCTGTCCAAATTGACAGGTGGAGGTATTGTAATTTCCTTTTCGATTAGTGTTTTCTGGTTCATCACTTACTAAATTTTGCACATTTTTCGTGGGTTTGGTGATGGCTGAAGGCAGGACATGATTTGGGCATTTTCTGGGGTTCATTTTGGGCTGAATTGAGTTTAATTGCTG